ACTCTGCAAAAACTTTAATCAATTTTTTTTTTCTAATAACCCCTAAACATCAACATTTTTGACATGTGTATATATATTTGCAGGCTCGAACCTGCGACGAGGCGAATGAAGCCTGCACCTCAAGCCCAAAACTGGATGGGGGCCTATTTTTGGCCTATTTTTGTTTTAATCAGCCCAATAACGGATGGGCCTCATCTTTGGCCCAACAATAATTTTTTTTAATTAAAAAATGGAAAATCAATTTTCATTCTCTCATTCAACTTGACTCCAACTGCGACGCCGTCTCTTCTCGACCAATGACCAGTCGACCTCGTCGTCACGACTCCTCCAGTCCTCCTTCCCTTCCCTTCCCTTCTCTTCCCTTCACTCTTTCACAAACCACAAGTTTTACACATTTCAAAACTTTTTTCAACCCTAACGACCTAACCACGTGAGTCACAAAACAACACAGCAACTCCCCAGTCCTCTGGCTAGTCGACAGTACACGGTTGAATTCTGAACAACAAACCCACATCAAAAATTCAAGAAAATAAAGCCTTTTTATGGTTGATTTTTCATCACAAGTACTTTAAAGAAACTGAATCGGACAATCTGAAAATGGTACTTTTTTTTTTTTTTTGGCCACGTTTAGTTTCTATTATCAGAGTATTTACTGTGACAAGGGTTTTGAATCAGTGTAGTATTTATGATAATTAATTGATTTTTATTGACTGGGCTTGTCTTTTCTTGAAAAATGATGGTCATTGATGCTTTAACTTTTGAAGGGCTGCTTAAAGTTCGGTGGAAAAATTGACTCTGCATTTAGTTTTGCTTTAGCGGAGCCATAAAGGTCCCCTTCCAACTATTCTTGAGTGGCTAATTAAACTGTTTTTGAATTTTCAGTTTCATATATTGTTCTTATTGTTTGTTTTCACCTATAACTGCAACATTTAATTGATTGTTATATGATTTATTTCAAATTTTTACCCAATACACAAAAAATAGCCTCAAAACAAACTCTTTCACTGGGATCCAAGA